GCGGGAGCAACGCGGGGGTTTCGGATCGGGGAGCCGGTCCCGGTCCGGTATGGGCGCGACACTGAGGGTTGCGATCCGTTGCCGGTCACGAAAAAAGACAAAAAGGAAAAAAAAAAAAGCTGCCTCAGGAAACCACAACAGAGCCTATGGCCATGACTTCTGCAGAACTCTGTCCTCACAACTCGGTCTGTGTCCCCCTGGTAGAGCTGACCTTGAGGATTTGTGGGTGGAAGTGCCCCACCAGGGCCTTAGTGGTGTCTAAGGGCTCGCATTGTGAGAGACACACGGAATGAGGGCTGCAAGAGGTGGCCCAGAAAAGTAGCGCAGCTGTCCCACAAAGAGAGGGCTGGGGTGTCACCCTGGGCTGTGTCTGAGATTCCTGAGCCTATTCAAGATTCCTTTTCCAAGCTTCCTGCCACCTCACTTCCCTGGCTACAGTGGCTCTAAATTTGCGGTTCTCAGCCTGGAGAACATCTGACAAGTTGTCAGAGGCTGGCCCCATCCCAGCGACTCTGATGTGATCTCTGATGTGATTGGTGCAGCCAGCAGCCAGGGCATCGGGACTTTTTCAAGCTCCCAGGGACTCTCACAGGCTGCTGGAGTTGAGAACTGTTAGCGGGGAATGTCAGAGAAGTCCCAGGACGTGGCCTGGGTGGTTAGCTCACTTGCTTAGAGCACAGTTTTGGTAACACCAATGTCAAGGGTTCGGATCCCAGTACTGGCCAGCCACCAAAATTTTTAATAAAGAAACCCCAAGACATGTTTGAAGAGCCTCCAGCTCCATCAGGGGAGTAGCTCCTAGCCTGATTTCTGGGCTGGACTCAGCATCCAGGCAGATCTCAGCTGACAAGCTTGGGGCTGGGGGCTTTATCCTGTGATAATTAAAGACTTGGCCAGTTCAGCCCGTCCTATCTCTGTCCTTATCTCACTCACCCAGCATCACATGACCCATCATCAGTCCAGCAACAAACACTGATGAAGTGTTGCTAAATGCTGGGTCATGTTCTGGGCTGGCAGTGAGGCTATGAGGAAAACAGCCGGAGCTCTGTGTTCAGTCTGAGGAGGGTGACAGCCTGACCCAGATGAAAGTGACACGTTGTAAATTAGCAGCCTGGAGCCAAAGTGTGGCCCTGAGACCAGCAGCATGAGCATCACCTGTGAACTGGTTAGACGTGCACCTTCTCAGGCCTCAACCCAAACTCCAGAATCAGAAACTCTAAGGGTGGAGCCCAGCAGTTCTGGTTGAATGAGCCCCGGGGTGACGCTGATGGCCATGAGAGTGCACTGAAGCGTTTCCCATCCCTTCGGCAGTCATTTACTGAGAGCTGGCCATGTGCACTGCGGGGCACTCTAGGATCTGTGAAGAAGACACACTTTGAGACCCCAAGGAAAGCACTAGACTTTGGGCCTCAGTTTGTTCATCCGGGACAGCAAAGGGAAGATGCCGTGTCCCTCTTAGTGTCTGTGAGGATTAAACAAGCACTTACCTGTAAAGTGTCCCCATGGTACCTAGAAGTGCAGTCCAGGCTCCTATTGCAGAGTGGCCACTGGCCTGAAGGAGCCGAATGGAAGAGAGGGGCGTGGACCTGAGACCCCCTGTGATCAAGACCACCCAGGGGGCCTCAGGGACAAGAGGGCTCATGGAGGAGGTGACAGCACGGCCTTGGAGAAAGGGAGGATTAGGACAGGAGATGAGGGCAGAGGAGAGGACAGAGATGTCCTGTGGGACAGGCTGGGGAAACTGGAAACCGGAGGCCTCTAGACACGGCTGTGGGGCAACCAGGGACAGTCAGGGTGAAGACAGAACCGGCACACCTGCAGTGTGTGCCACAGGGCTTGGATGACTCCCTGTAGATGACAGGGAGCTGGGTGGGGCCCATGAAATGATGAGCCAAGAAGCCACACCGGGGCGAGGAGAGGCCCTGGGGGTGCTGCTGCAGTGGGTTAAGTATGTCCTTCCTGGTGTAAGCGCCTGCCACAGGAGAAGGGCAGAGGTCCCCCCACCCCCAACCTTGGGTGTACTGGCCCAGCCCTGAGAAGCCTCTATGTCTCCCTGTGGCCTCCCCAGTTACACTGGCCAGGCTAGCCCAGCGCAGACCCCCACCCAGTTGGACCCTTCCAGGAATGCGACATGAGGGAGACAAGGAGACACCGGTAAGGCCATTTGTTATACAGGACATTGGCCTTCTGTGGTCAAAAATCACAAAACATAGGCCGGCCCGTGGCTCACTCGGTAGAGTGCGGTGCTGATAACACCAAGGCCATGGGTTCGGATCCTATATAGGGATGGCCGGTTTGCTCACTGGCTGAGCGTGGTGCTGACAACACCAAGCCAGGGGTTGAGATCCCCTTACCGGTCATCTTTTTAAAAAAAAAAAAAAACAATCACAAAACATCAGTCTGTGGCAGGTGACTGGAGAGCTTTGGGGCAACCCCAAACTCCACTCAGGAGGCGTGGTGCATGTCTTCATCAGGCCTGCGCTACGCTGCAGTCTGGAGAGAAGGGGCAGGCAGTGCCGAGAGCCAGCCCCTCCAGATCAACGCCCCCAATCAGATGGGCACACAGGGGTGGGGCAGGAAAGATGCTCAGGTCCCACCAGGGCCTGGGGAGATTGTTCCTGGAGTCCTTTGAGTTTCTGGGCCTTCAGGCAACAGATTGCCAGCAGCCTGAGACCTTGGCAGCCACCAGCCTCCCCAGCAGCCCCTGCCTGTCTCCCTTCAATCCTCCATTCCTTCTCCTAGCTTCTTTCAGCTGAAGTTTGAACGGGCTTTCTGGAAGGGCATTTTGCTAGGAAACAAAGAGAAAATGCTCTTGCTCCCCAATGGGAGACACTAGAAGCAGAGAGGTAGTGTTGCCGGGCCCAGGTCCAGCTGCCTGCCCCAAACAAAACCAAACCAGCCAGAAGTCAAACATTGGTGAAAACGGGAGTCAGCTTTTATTCAGGAATCCCAGTGACCTGAGAGAGATGTTGGGCTGACCCATCTCTCCGGTAAGCCCAAAGGACAATGGCCAGACTAAAGCCATCTCAAACACTCAGACTTACTGAGGGGTTTTTAAAAGGGGTCTGAGGGGGTTCAGGGTCTTGCAGGAGGGATGGAGTCAGCACAGCTTTACTGAAGTCTTCCTTGGTTTCCCAGGGTCTGGATAGCATGTGTCTTGTTGCAAGTTCGCAGCTCCAGGCTGACTGGAAAACAACTTTACATTCATGTAAATAATGTCATCTCGCCCCATAACCAAGTTTCAAAGTATCGAATAGCCATGGGGAAAGAGGGAACTCAGAAATGCATGCCAAGAAAAAAGCAGTGTCTTTTAACGTTTTCTGCAGCCCAGGTGGTTTTAAGTCCCAATATGGCTTTAATCCTGCTCACTTCAACAGTAGGTGGGTGTACAGGGCACAGGCTCTGACCCCAGGGGTATGAGTCAGGACCACAAGTGGCAAGTGTCAGAACCTGGCTCGAGCCAGCTATGGAGAAGGGCCACTGAGGGGACTGACAAAGCTGGTCTCCAGTCACCTGCAGGACACGTACTTCATCTCTCCCTTTGTCCTTCCTACTGCTCCCCAGCCAGAGAGCCACCCCTTAGATCAGCTTCCCAGGGCACCCGGGCCTCACAGGCCTCAGTGGGTCCCCCTGAGAATGGCCTAGAGGGGAACCCAAGGGGCAGGGCTGTAATTGGCCTTCTGTGGATCAGGTGTCCATTCCCGGACTAATCACCAGTGCCCAGGGCAGGGGCTGGGGTTGCCCAGGCAGGCTCTGTAGGAAGAGAGCAGCTCCCATTGCAGGCAAATGGTTACCTGGAGGTGAGGGTGGGGGTGGGGGCAGGGGTGGGACACCACCCCTGGAGAAGGCAGCCAGCGTGGGCATTTCCTGCACCAGGTAACTGAACCTAGGCAGAGAGGGACTGGCTGGCCCAGCAGCCCCAGGCCTGGGCTTGGGTGAGGAGCCAGGCTGTGCAGGCAGGCAGGTGCCAGTGGCCCACTGCAGGGTTGGCAGAGTCCCGGTCCTCACCTCACCGGCTGCCCTGAGGGGTCCAGCCCTGGTTGCCTTAGGGCTCTAGGAGGCTCCACTCACTCCCACTCGTCTCTCCAGATCCAGCCAGCTACTGCAGGTCGCTGTTGAGGCCATGTCACTGTCTGTGATGTGGCTTGGTCTCCTTTTGGTCTAGCATTGTGTCCAGATCCCTGGGAAATGACCATCCACGTGACCTCCTACCCAGATGGGAGGTGGGGAGGGGCCCTGCCCCCTGAGTGAGCGGTGGTGCTCGGGCACGCCGCGTCTGCGTTAGTCCATTTCCGTCGCTTATGACAGACCCCTGAAACTGGGTAATGTGTAGAGAAACAAAATTTACTTCTCACAGTTTTGGAGTCTGGGAAGTCCAAGGTCCAGGGGGCACATGTGGTGTGGATCTTCTTGCCGGGGAGACTGTCTACAGCAACATGAGCTGTCACACAGCGAGAACAGCAAGAGCCAACCGACCTCACTCGCGGTCCTCATGGAGCATGAGAACCACACCCGTGACAACTCATCACTCCACGAATGGGTCAATCCATTCACGAGGGCACAGTCCTCACCGTGCGATCATCTCTCAAAGGCCCCACTTTTCAAAAACCATAATTGGATTTCCCACCCTCTTAGCACCTTACGATGCAGGTCAAGTGTGCAATACCTGACCTTTTGGGAAACACATTTAACCCCTAGTGGCATCACACTCCCGCAATGACCAGGGGCCTTGTGCAGTCTGAGGGTTAATTTGGGGGTTGGGGGCAGCATCGGCCACCTAGCAGGTGCCCAGTCGGTGCTCGTATGTGACCCAACATGAGATGGACAGAAGTCACCTCTGCCCCCCGCTTCCCTAGCAGGGCTCCAGCCCACCAGTTCTCCTTGGCTGCTTTGTCGAGACCCCTATGGTTACACCAGGCCCACCCGCATAATGCAGGATGATCCCCCCATCTCAAAACCAGCAGACTAGCAGCCTTCATCCCCCCTCGCCATGTAACACGACATGTTTGCAGGTGCCGGGGGCTAGCAATGTGGACATCTGTCCACCACATGAACCCAGGGGCCCAGAGCTCTGCAGCACAGCTGAGTCAAAGCCCTGGTTTGGCTTCAAGGCCCAGCTCCTCCTAGTTTGGAGGACTGTGGGGGAGTTTGCTGTTCTGGGCCTGCCAGGCTCTCTGGGTGGCGGAGGCCTTCAGGTTATCTTCTCGCAGCAGGCGGCCACCCAAGGAGCATCCTGGGGGCCCCAGGGTGGAGGTGGCCAAGACCTAGGAAGCTCTCAGGAGCCTGAGCAGAGGCCCCACAGCCACGGAGGCATGAGGCTCCTTCGGTTGCTCTGCTTGGCCGTTCTGGGTGAGTCCACTGGGGATGTCGTGGGAGGGGGCTGCTGCCAGGGCCTTGAAGAGGTGGGCTCAGGGTATGGGGGTGCTAAGGAGCCCAGGAGAGGTGGGGTCTGAAAGCACGGCCACCTCTGGAAGCACGGGGTGGAGAAGGAAGATTGGAGTCTCAGACCAGCCTCTCTTTTACTGCGTATGTGGCCAGTTTTGCTTCACCTTGGGCCCTCTACTTACTCCTCTGCAAAATGGGCTCGTGACAATAAATGTTTTGGGCCTCAAAAGAGCTTTTGTGAGGGGCTATGCTTGTTGAGTCATGGGACCACCTCCCTTCTGGCCTCAGCAAGGGTTCTGTGGTCTGTCTCCAACCCCTGCCCCACCCCGCACCTCCTGCACCCCAGGCTCTCTCCTCACCACCCTCCCCTCTCTTACAGCCACCAGCAGCTTCTCCAGGGAGCAGGAGGGAGGTGAGTAGCCCAGCAGGCTGGAGGGAGAAGTGCCCTCAGCTGGGGACCCTGGCGTCAGAGTCGCCACCCACAGTGGGTGGCTTGGTTGGGAGGAGGTTGCTGATGATAAGGAGGTGTGTGCTGGGGGTCAGCTGGACAACCTGCCCACCCCCTGCAGAGCCCTGGGGGGAGTGGAGTGGGCTGAGTAGGCAGGGTAGGGACCTCCAGGGGACATGGGGCAAGAAAAGTGCTTGGCTCCCAGTTGGGCTATTGGGGGGGGGGGTCCCTGATCTGGAGCGGAAGCCCCTCCAGGAGCCCCACAGCTCTGCCTGCTGGGTGTGACCCCAGTGAGGGCTGGGGGATTCTGGTGGTGTTAGAGAAAAGTTCACAGGTCTGGCTGCCTCCTGCCAGACAAAAGCAAACCAATCGAAAGCCAGTTGTTGGTGAAAATGGAAGTCAGCTTTCATCCAGGAATCCCGGTGACCTGAGAGAGATGTTGGGCTGACCCACCTCGCCAGTAAACCTGGAGGAGGATGGCCAGACTGAAGCCAGCTCCAGGACTCAGACTTACTGAGGGTTTTTATAGAGAAAAAAAAGAGGGGGCTGAGGGAATGGGACGTGGGAAGTGACAAGCAGGAGGGAGGGGGACGTGAGCTGTGGAGGCTCCATGCAAGGTCTCAGGTGCAAGGTCTCGCCAAGACTCCATCTGGTTTCTGTTCTCGTCTTTGCTGTTATCTTAGGGTCTGGGGGTGGCGGGGAGGGGCAGCGCTTCCTGGGGAGGGTGCACTTGGGAAGCCCTCACTGAGAAGGGTCACAGCACATGAAGGAGTTCTCAGAGCAGGATGTGCCTGGACTAGGGCCCTGTGTGGCCAGAGGGCAGGAAGCAAGGGGAAGGGGAATGTTGGGGGAGGTCAGAGGTCAGCAGCATGGGTGTGGGGCTGACTGGGGAGGGCCCTGTGGGGTGCAGCAGGGGGGCAGTTTTGGAGCAGGGCACCGTCTGCTCTACCCTTGATGGGGTCATTTGGCCACAGTGTTGGGATGGAGATCAAAGGTCAAATGCCAGAGAGCCATTAGGGTGCTACAGGGTCGGCAGGGAGAAGGGGTGGCCATGTATTCCAGAGGCCAACAGCTGTGCTGGCAATGGGATGGGACATGGGGACAGCCACCGAAGATGGGGCCAAGGTTTCTGGCCTGAGCAGCTGTTGGGATTGGCCAAAAACAGTGTGATGGGATGTTATGCAGCTGAAGCAGCCCCGATGGGAGTGGAAAGCTGGACACGACACTAGGGAACTTTAGGAACCGAGGTTCCAGGACACTGGAAAGAGGATCTCGGTGTATTTTGAAATCCCCAAGAATCATGGCAAGTGTAATATGAAGCGTGGCAGGAACCAGGGGCGAGACTCTTCAAGGAACCATGGGCGTTTCTAAGACAAGGATGTGGAATATGTCTGAAGACACGAGCTGGTGTTTAGGGAGGAGGGAGGAAGAACGGTCCAGAAATAGCAAGAGGATGTCAACCCTGTCGTCCCAGCCCAGTGCCATGGAGGCTGTGGGGACCCAGCACCCCCTGAGACAGCTGGAGGTGTAGACAATGCCCTGGGGAGGGGGGGATGTGGTTTCCATGGGATGTAGAAGACGAGATGTTGGTCGAAAGGTTGAGGGGGTGGGGGAATTGGATGCTGGCTGAGCCTATGTCCCAGAGGGCACAGAGGGAGGATTCTGGGATTGGTGAGGTTGAGAGGTGGGACTTCATCAGGGGGGTGGAGAAGGGAGCCTGGGGGTTTTCATAGCACCCATAATAACCTAATGACAATGTCCCTCCCTAATGTCCAGAATATCTGGTTGAAGGACAGATTTAAACTAGAGTGCACTCACTCCCTCGGGAGAAGGCAGAGGAACCTTGATGAGTTTTCCCCAATTACTCCTAAAACCACTTTGGTATTTCCAGCATGAGGTTCTAAGGTTTCATAAGAATCACTTATGAGGGGTGATGTGTGAGTTTCCTGGGGCTGCCCTAACAAAGTCCTACAAACCGAGTGGCTTAAAACAACAGATATTTGTTCTCTCACAGTTCTGGAAGCTGGAAGTCCGAGATCAGGGTGTCGTCAGGGCTGGCTCCTCTGGAGGCTCGGAGGGAGCCTCTGTTCCTTGCTCTCTCCTGGCTTCTGGTGGTGGCCTCCACTGTCACGTGGCGTTGTGCTGTGCATGTGCGTGTGTGTGTCTTTTCCTCTTCTTATTAGGCCCCACCCTAATCCACTGTGGATTACTGGAGTTAAGTTAATCGTTTTAACGTGATTATACCTGTAAAGACCTTATTTTCCAAATAAGGTCCCCATCACAGATACTGGGGTTAGGGTTTGACATATCTTCTTGGAGGACACAATTCAGTCCTCAACAGGTGGGCTGCTTGTTCAAAATCAGATCCCTGGGCCCGAGCTCAGGTCTAATGAATTGCAATCTCTAGGTTTGGGACTCAAATTTCCAAGCTTCCAGTTATCACAGACAAGTCTGGAGAGAGGTCTGGGGCCTGGGCACCAGCCCTACAGTTTCTTTCTTTCTTTAGCAGTTCTCAGCTTGGTTTGGCTTCCCATCCCGAGGGTGGCCTTATCTTTGCCTCACCACGTTTAGAGTGTGCCATCTCATTATTCAAATGTTCTGACTAGTAGAAGAATTTTATTTTATTATTTATTTTTCCGGCAGGCTGGCTGGCAAGGGGATCAGAGCCATTGACCTTGGTGTTACAAGGCTGTGCTCTAACCAACCGACCTAAATGGCCAGCCCATGACTTTTAAATTAAAAGTTAAAAAAATTTAAATTGAATGACTATGCTTTCCTGGTGGGCTAGATCCACAAACTAAACAGCCAAAAGGAAACCCCCCCCACACACACGTCTTGTTAGAATAAAAAGTGAACGTCCCACTGCATAGTGTACTTTAAAAATGTTGCCCTCTGTGGGCTTATGCAAAGCAAGCTTCTATTCATGGCCATTGAAATGGAAATGAAGGGGGTAGTTTTTCTTTCTACTTTTGTAAGTCAAGATCATTTCCCTGCATGAAAGGAGCAAAAGAAAGTGTGATCACACTTCAGCCCTGGACTCTCACTTCCCCCACGTGGAGGTAAGATTCTGGTGCCTAAGATCAGCTTTGCACTGTGAGGAGGAGGCTTCTTGGCCCCTCAGGCTGCATGGACAAAATTATCGGTAGAAGTCTGCAAAATGGTGCCCCAGAGAGTAACTTTACATTGGAGGTAAGATTCTGGTGCCTAAGATCAGCTTTGCACTGTGAGGAGGAGGCTTCTTGGCCCCGCGGGCTGCATGGACAAAATTATCGGTAGAAGTCTGCAAAATGGTGCCCCAGAGAGTAACTTTACATTTATCTTTTTTTTTTTTTTTAAAGATGACCGGTAAGGGGATCTCAACCCTTGACTTGGTGTTGTCAGCACCACGCTCAGCCAGTGAGCGAACCGGCCATCCCTATATGGGATCCGAACCCGGGGCCTTGGAGTTATCAGCACCGCACTCTCCCGAGTGAGCCACGGGCCGGCCCGTAACTTTACATTTAGATATAGCTTTATTTATTTATTTATTTATTTTATTTTTTATTTTTTTTTTTGTCCTTTCTGAGACCAGCCGCACTGCGCTCAGCCAGTGAGCGCTGTGAGCGCACCGGTCATCCCTATATAGGATCCGAACCCGCAGTGGGATATAGCTTTATATTCTTCAAGTTAAAGATTTTGCATGAAATCCTGTTTGAAAAAAAGAATTCCGCCCTCCCCCCCACAACAAATAGGAGTTTTCATGAAGTTTCAAAAGATGAGAAAATATTTGTTGACATCTATGCAGCCCTGAGTAGGGCAAGAAATCCTGATTCTGGAAGGCTGGTTGTCTAGATCAGAGTTCTCAGCCTCAACACTGTTGACATTTGGGACCAGATAATTCTCTGTTGTGAGGGGCTGTCCTGTGCATTGCAGGGTATTTAGTGGCATCTCTGGCTTCTACCCACTAAATGTCAAGAGAACCTCCATTTGTGACAACCCAAAACTGTCTCCAGACACAAAGGTCCCCTGGAGGCTGAATCGCGCCTGGTTGAGAAATGCGCTCGGTGGCCAGAAACTTCAGGATTTCCAGGAAATGTCTCAGAACATCCACTCTAGTTTGTTCCAATTCTTTGCTCGATGGTCAGCTTTTTGGTTGCAGTGTGCTTTAAGGGGCAGACATGCCCAGCCGGGCAAGGGTGATTTATAAAGTCTATGATATTTAGATTTCATAGATGATTATCCCTACCCCCCCCCACTCCCTGCCAAGAACTGCCCCTACCCACACTATTCTTGAAAATGCAAGTAGGTCCCCACCATTAATACATCCCTCTGCCCCAAACCCCCCGTTCAGAAGGCACCTTTGTTTAATCTTGCTGTCCTGCAGAATCAGTAAAGGAAGCATGAGGCCTAACAGGAAGATCTTAGAGATGTTTTCTGCATTGAAATCAACTCCAGGATCTATCTGCAAAATAGAAAAGTCACTTGCAAGCAGACCCCAGTCTTGGTGGGTGGGTGAATGCCTCTGGAATACGCAGGAGGGTGGGTTTCCCTCCTGGGTCTAGAGAGGAGAGGTCCTTAGGCGCTGTGGGCACACTGGTCTCCTACGTTCTTCCAAAGTCTTGCAGTTGCCTGCTTCTCCCCAGTTCAGCCCCTCCCTCCAAGGTTGGGATCCCTCCCTGTACTACCTCTCCTGGATCTGTCCCCTGCCTTTTGACTGTCCTTTTAAACCAGAGGTTGACCCTCTCTGGGTGCAGGAGCCTGGCCACTGCCCCTGCATCCCATGTCCCGTGGCAGGTCTGCCATGACAAGGCCTCTGATAGCTGAGGATGGACAGAGACTTGAACTCCTCAAGACCACAGACCAGGCTCAAACCTGAAGGCAGGGATGGGTCGTCGGGTCCCTGGTCCACCTTGTACTTTACCAGTCCCCAACCCCAGCTCTGGAGGGACAAGGTTCCTGGGAGCCGAGCATAGGCCACACCTCAG